AAAATAAATATAATAATCACGATTAAATGCTTAATCCCTGAAAAGTTATGACTTCCTTGCCTCGACAACAATAACAGCTCGATGTGCCTTGATGGTTTTGTTTACCATCATTATCCCCATTTGAGAGAATGAATAGTCAACTTAAAAAATATTTTATATTAATAATATTTTCATCCATGGTGGCTACAAGTGAGTATTAATATCTTATAACGTATTACTCAAATATAATCAATCATCAGTTTATTGTCTACTTAACAATAGTCTACAATGTTCTGTTAAGTTGTCAACGCCATAATACAGCGAATCATTCTGTTCCCTTGCTTGACAATGTATTCTGGATTATCAACGATTTATACACCACATACACACACGGATTGGTATTAATATATAGATTGCACGTAGAAATTAGAATGAATTACATTGAATGTGCATACAGGTGTGGAGTATCTCTGATTAAGAGATTACTTTTATATCTGTTTTGAGGCATATTCGAGTGCAAAACGTCATCAAGTTATAATGACAAAGTACATCTAATCTGCAGAGGCGTTTTAAATAGTGAGAAGTCATCGCCGTTTGCGCAACAAATCATGAAAATTACCTCAAATGATTATTAAATGCTACAAATTAATGGATTTGCATGATATAGACTATATAGAATGTTGGGAAAGCTTCCCTTACAATTCTAATTTTTATTTCTGAAAAAGAAATCCAATATCCAATCAAATAAATATATATACTGAACGTTTTGACGATCTATGATACATGCAGGAATGTCCAACATTATTGGAATTGACACAATGGGACTCGAATATCAACCTGAAATAAAGTCAGAAATGTTGCACTCGTTCCCTTTGTTTATTTAGCTTTTAGATAATTGTTTTTCAAACATCTAAAATGACATTGTGACGGTACGCATCATCAATTGCTTTGAAAAGTTGCCATTTAGCGATAAGATCATATAGGTCCTATCAAAGAGCAATGCATACGACATATGAAGAAAACAATATTTCTTGTCATATTTGATTGTTGGAAAGCAATATCCAATCGCATTGACGACGACGAAGTTTGTGTACTAACATCGATCATTACCTTTTCAGCTGAATAAAGCTCAGTATACACCAATAGGGCAAATTTCCCCTCGCCCCATCAAGTCCCATCTAGATCCATCGGATCCCAACTTGCCCCGTCGAATCCCACCTTGATGACTTGGCCCCATTGAGTCCCGAGTCCCATCGACATCGAGGCCTATGGAGTCCCATCATATCCTACCGTACCCCTTAAAGAATGAACATAAATAATACATTCTACATCGTATATCCTATTGTTTCCATGAAACAATTGCTAAATTCGTTTCTTGATAATATATGATAGGGTCAAAGTGATATGAGGTGTTTGGTAGGATATCCGAGTCCAATAAAAAATTTCAGAATTTGTGATTTAGTGTCTGTAGCATGACTTGTCATGCTTCTTTAGAATTTCAAGATTAGTTGAATGTCACGATTACATGGCTTAAAGAATACGGTTATTTTATTTTTAATATTTAGATTTCCCCAAGTAGGTCAGCGGCTGAGCACATTTAAAAAAACAAATATGTTTCTCACTGGATTCATATAGAGCAAGGTCTTGTTTCATCTAAATGATGAGGAAAATTTGTTCTAAATGTGGCACCACCTACAATTTACCCCAAAATTTTAAACTAATTATTCTTTTCATAACTGAAACATAAAGACATCTCAAATAGCTTAAATTGATCAATTGTACATTAAATAATGCATTAACATTTTTCCGATGTGTGAAAATCATAATTCATGAAGAAATAACGATTAACCCCTTAAAAGCCCCCTTAATATGGAATTTGAACTAATAAAAAGTCACTTTTATGAGTAAGGTCTTAAATAATACAAATATCTTCAAAAAGATGCAATCCATATTTAATTCTAACTATTCATTAATGATAAATTAGTGTTTACAGAATTGCAGGATAACTTTAATAAAGTTCAGTTCCGTATTTATTTATTGAAAGGGCGTAACGATAATAGCTTCTCATAATCTCAAATGAAATATTACTATTGGAGAAATAAATAGATTCCCTAGAAACCACCAGGTGTAATTTTCACCATTAGTGCGATCGCAAACAACATATATCCAGATCTTGCTTAGATAGGCTAGTCAAAGACAAGCTGATTAAGGGATGTTAATCAAAAGGAGTTTGTAAAGTGACACATTCAAGATTTGGAAATATTTTTGACTTCAACAAAGCAGAATAAAAAGTATGTATCGCTTTTCCTTTGTAGTATAAATATCAGAACTTAATTTCAATTATTTAATCAGCTTTAAATTAGTTTACAGACACTTTAACATTGTTCATCATAATCAATATAAATAAGTGTTAAGGTCACCTCAAATTTAGTAAAAACAATTGCAAATGTATTTCCTTATGTTAAGATCACCGCAAATTGAGTAAAAACAATTGCAAATGTATTTCCTTATGTTAAGATCACCTCAAATTTAGTAAAAACAATTGCAAATGTATTTCCTTATGTTAAGATCACCTCAAATTTAGTAAAAACAATTGCAAATGTATTTCCTTATGTTAAGATCACCTCAAATTTAGTAAAAACAATTGCAAATGTATTTCCTTATGTTAAGATCACCGCAAATTGAGTAAAAACAATTGCAAATGTATTTCCTTATGTTAAGATCACCTCAAATTTAGTAAAAACAATTGCAAATGTATTTCCTTATGTTAAGATCACCTCAAATTTAGTAAAAACAATTGCAAATGTATTTTCTTATGTTAAGATCACCTCAAATTTAGTAAAAACTATTGCAAATGTATTTCCTTATGTTAGGATCACCTCAAACTTTAATTAAAACAATTGTAATGTATTTCCTTATTTTAAGATCACCTCAAATTTAATAAAAACAATTACAAATGTATTTCCTTATGTTAAGATCACCTCAAACCTTAACAAAAACAATTGCAAATGTATTTCCTTATTTTAAGATCATCTCAAATTTAATAAAAACAATTGCAAATGTATTTCCTTATGTTAAGATCACCTCAAACTTTAATAAAACAATTGCAAATGTATTTCCTTATGTTAAGATCACCTCAAAAATAAAAACAATTGCAAATTTATTTCCTTATGTTAAGATCACCTCAAACTTTAATAAAACAATTGCAAATGTATTTCCTTATGTATACCAATATTTTATCCACAGATGTACTATTTATATTCAAAAATAATTATGACAATAATGCCAATAATTTATTTAGATTCACTACGAACAAGAGAAAGTCATTAAAAAGTCGCCACTTATCAGTCACACTGGTATAGTTTTCTCGATCGAATGCAGGAATATAACACGCTTGAAACAAAAAAGGTTAATGAAAACAAAACGACACATTGATTCATCAAATTATGATAGAAAGAGATTACAAATTGAGTAACTTTTAAAAGTATAACTTATCAGTGATTTATGGAACTTTTATCCAATATCGTTTGCTCTAGATCACTGCTAACCATATCTAGTGGAACATTATCTAGTCCCGATTTTAGTACGGAAATACCCCACTGGCTAATCTGGGGAGGGGGCTCGGGTGGGCCCAGAAAAAGAATTGGGCCCAAAAAATGTTGGGCCAAAAAGGCCTTCAGGCCCCAAAAAGTGGACTTTTTATCATTACTGGGCCTTTTAAAGCCTTATTTTTAATTTTAAGCCAAATTTTGAAGAAAATGGGTCTCAAAATTTTGGCCCACCTTTTGGTTTTAGGGGCCCAAACATTTTTCGTGCAAGCACGGTTTTTTCTCACACCTGAAATTTGCCCCATCCCCCTTGTTGGTTCTCAGATCTGCCCCTGGGACGTTGTAATAAGAATTTATACGAGCTGCATAATGTATTATTTTCAGAAACCCCTGCATCGTTTGTTTGTCATTTTTGAAATTATTTTGAGTTGGGCCTATTGTTAAATGGTTTCATTATATTTATCCTTTCCTGTATCTTTTATATGTTTCTACCACGAACTTTATTCATTCGTATTCATTGATTCATCTGTCTTATTAATCAACCTACAAAAGATAAATAGATATGTCTCAGATAAAAAGTACAATAAACCCAAGGATGAATGTGTCGTCAACCAGTATATTTAATCTAATCCCATTAGTTCTTCAGCATTGTCTAGTGATAACAACTGTTGAAATTTGTCTCTCGTTTTAATATGTATTTTTCATTGACGACATGCTGGTTACACCCATCCCTGTAAGTTTAGCAACCGGAATTGAAACCCTCATGGACCACGTGTAGAACTTGTTTTTGGCGATTATAAAATCATCAAAGTAATACTGAAACATCAGACCTATTGGGGAGTCAATGTTGCCAAGCTTTTTGAGGGAAGTGTATCTTGTCTTTTAGTATCAACAATAATCCACTTAACAGACATGTATAATTTATTTACCTCTTAAATAAAAGAAAGTTACATTCATATAATTAACACATAAAGGACTTTAAGGGAAGGGACTTTTTATTATGTAAGGGACTTATCTGATCAACAAGCTAATGATGTGTCATGGGTTTCACTTGAAGGAATCCAGCGTATTGCTCCCCGTAAGATCGTTATAGTGTATATTTTCTCATCTTTGTAACAATAAGAACGCATTGCCAGCGGGATCTAATGTCAACATGTTTAATAGTAATAAATGAATAAATGAATCATTCTCAACAATGCTACCAATGACACAATTGAAAATAAACAAGGTTGAAGATTAAAGTACGCTTTGTCTTTTTATGAGTATAGAAAACATAATTATAGAATAGTAAACGAAGTAAAGAGAAAAGTGACGTTTTTTTACTACAAAATACTGAAATATTTGCCTATTTCAATTAAGAAAATCAATAAGTGGAGATTATAGTGCACACCTACGTGGATTCCTTTTTATAGTCGACGTAATTATGAAATTAATCTCTGTAAGTGAAACATCTCAACCAGTCCTAGTGTTATCGTTATTTTCTTGAACTATAAACAATTGATGTACTGTATCATGGATTCCTCTATATAACATATAAAAAAGATCCAAAATATGTTACCAATATATGGATCTTATTCTTGTTTTTCAGAAATTTTGAGAAAATATGTTGAATAACTCGGCTCTTGTTAACATAACAACTTTATTGGGGGTAGTACTTAGTCTGAATACTACAGAACATATGAATTTCACAACTGATATGACGAGGAGCAACTACTCGGAGCCTCTAAATTCCACCACCGTCAATCCAACAACTTTAAAGACAACACTTTCTCTTGAAGAGGGCGATGAAGAAGCTGAACCAAGAATTCTAACCATGGAGGATCATATCGAATACAAGGCAAGTGAGGCTATTTGGAAATACGTATCCCCATTCTTAATATTCGGTGGACTTATTGGAAATACACTATCAATTGTCGTGTTGATGTGTAGTAAGATGCGTCAAACGACTTCTTCCTTGTACCTGTCTACACTGGCAGTTTCAGATTCTCTAGTCCTTGTGCTTGGCCTTGGAAGACATTGGATGCGTTCTGTGGTTGGTACGGACATTCGCGAAGTTGAAGAATGGCTATGTAAAGCGCATTTATTTCTTCTATACTCAGCAGTGGACTTTTCTGCATGGATTCTTGTGGCTGTAACCATTGATCGGGTCATCACCGTTTACTTTCCCCTCCAGTCTAAGCGCATCAGTACAAGGACTTCCACGTGTGTAACCATGGTTGTCATTTTCGTCGTTATCCTTCTAATCAACGGCCACTTTTTGTTTACACACGGAACATTCTATTTAGATTGGTATGGAACAGTGTATACTTACCTCTGTACCTATATCGACGATAATGATTTCTTTCACAATACAATCTGGACTTGGCTGGATTTGTCAGTGGCCTCCTTGGTACCATTCCTGATGCTTATCATCTGCAATACCCTCATCATCGTCAAGTTGATGCGATCACAGAAACGCCGACAAGAAATGAACGTCAGTTCATCTAGGACTGACCACACGAGGTCCATGACCATCATGCTTTTGGCCATTAGTTTTATATTTGTCATCCTGACAAGCCCCATCGTCATCTACCTGAAGGGACATCAAGAATCCACCAAGGATAGAAGTCCTCTTGCGGAAGCACGAGACAAACTCGTCTGGGCAATTGTTAATATGTTCCTCTACTTGAACAACGCAATCAATTTTTTCATGTATTGTTTGAGTGGCGGTCGATTCCGGGAAGAGATGAGAAAGTTATTTTGTTGCGTTGGCATTGGTATGCAACGGCAGACCTCGTATACCGGAGGCTACACGAAACAATCATCTTTAAATGGATCCACCACGCAAACAGTTCCGACAGTCAGTTCTGATGTATCCCGGAAAACGGCTGACGTCACCACTAAACTCTAACTATTTGTATATAACGGAATATAGATCTGCAAATGTCGAAATAAACAGACATCAGACGATCTTCATTGTATACTTAGATCTGAATAATGCGCTCCGAAAACCATTGCCATCTATCTAAAACCAAGTAAGGAATACTCCATTTGATGAAATGACTGGCCATGCACGGAAAGGTTCGTGAGAGAACTGCCATTGGACACGTGTTTCAATATGATGTGCGTAATTTTATACAAATCTTTGATCAGTCATATACAATGAAGTACGACTTTATGTCTCAGCTCCGCACTTTGTTTTCATTTACGAGAACACACTTGCGAGTAAGCTGTACTTCATTACATTCCTCGATTCTACCAGACTGTGAGCTATCTGTTCTTCCATTGTGAGGGTTGGTCAAAATAGTATCGAAATGAATTTGTGTGTGTATTTGTATATATTGTATGAGGAAAACTCTAGTTTCCTATTCACACCGGAATAGCCTGACAACGGTAAAGTCAGATACCGTTGTCACAAATGGCGGACATAACCGTCGCTTCAACTGTTTAATCACTTGGTCATCGTTTCATGGGACTTTATCGTCTCTAATTTTGTGCATGTATTAAGCTCTTGTGATAACAATGTGATATTGTATCATATTAAATCCCATTTTCGATCAAATTGGGTCGTGAATCGCTACAATTTCGATATCGTCAATGACAACGTAATCTGAATTTGAGTAATTTAGAAAGACAACCGCATATGGTAATTACAGTGTCCGTTGTCCCGTATCTCATTTTGATCGGTTAAATTAAATACTTTATTTCGATGGTAGAACATTATTAACTGTACAATGAGTATTAAGACACTTTGATTGATTGTTGTTCCAAAGACATTTGTTCATGAAAATCTAATTGAAGCGACGGTTATGTCCGCCATTTGTGACAACGGTATCTGACTTTACCGTTGTCTGGCTATTCAGGCTGCTAGCCTGCTATTTGTATATAACAAAGAATATTTTCCCGATATATTGTATCACTGGCGTTGCATCATATACGCATAAACGCCATGGCGTATTCTCAAAAAATATATTTGTTTATCTAAAATTGAATTTTTACATTTTGTTAGTCCATGTTGGAATTTCGTATTTAAAACGCCCTTGAATCTTCCAAATGCAATCTCATTTTCAAATTCTCTTGGAGGGGGAGGGTCAACCCTCAAAGCTCGTTCGCTTCGCTCACTCGTAGCGTAAACTCAAAAAATTCCCACGCTACGCCGTATACCGATATATATAGGGTGGGCCAAAAAACGCCACTTTTTTCAAAATGCTATAACTTTTTTAATTTTTTATATTAAATCATAATTTGCATACCAAATGAAACTTGAAGTTGTTATCTAGCCATGGATCATAAATTATATACTTTTACTTGAATAAGATATGTCACCAGCGTCTCACTTTAACATGTGGTGTGCCATGAGAAATAAGCATAATTTGCAAAATGTTCCTGAACTGATACGGCCTGATTGGCCTGATGATCGCCAAGTTAATAGCCCTGATGCAAACCCCAGTGAGTATAGGGTATGGGAAGGTCTCCGGGAGATTGTATGAAGGCACCCCATCTAGAAAATTGCTCAACTAAAGCAGGCAATTAAGACAGGTTGAAAAAAAGTTAGCTAACATTTCATTGATACTGGAATATCAGCAAGGCGACTCAAACTAAAATATATCATTAATTGTGGTGGCGGACCAATTGAACTCCCCTTTTAGATCAAATATAATCCAAGTTGAAGGACTTGTTACATTATATTATTACTAAGCAACCTTGGCACTATTTAACTGCAAATTTCGGGTATGTAGGTTGGAAAATAAAAAAGTTGTAGTGTCTTGAAAAAAGGAGCGTTTTTGGCCCACCCTGTCCATTGATTTATGTTGCATTGCTTTATTTCCTTCACAATGAAGAATTTACAAAATACGTACTATGTATAAATGTTTCTTACTTTCTTGTGAATATAAATGTTATAGAAATGTGTACTTTATGATTTTATGTTTTACATTATCTGTGGTGAATTTGCTATCATGTTTTGAAATCATCATCTGGTTCTTCATATAATGACAGAGTATTCTAAATCCCCGTGTTTCACAAGAACATTGTATACAGGCTGGACTTAGTTGACAGTGGCCTCCTTGTAACCATTCCTGATGCTGGACTCGGACCGACCACACGAGGTCCAAGACCATCATGCTTTTGGTCATAAGCTTTATTTTTGTCATCCTTACAAGCCCTATTGTCATCTACGAAGTGGGATAGCAGGATTTCGCAAAGGATAGGTCACCTCTTGGGAGAGCGCGAGACGCAATCAATTTTTACATGTATTCAGGTATTGCTTGAGTGGAAGCCCATGATTCTACGAAGAGATGAGAAGTCTCTGTTTATATACTTTTTTCTCCTAGTTTATTAAGATTTGCGTATCAAAAATAAGTGTATAAATAGCGACTCTGGGAACTATAATGTGTGGCGTCCTGTAATAGGTGGCAGCACAATTCCGGCGAGGAAATTCAGAACTGAAAAAATCAGCTGTTTGTAGACAAAACGTCTTTATGCAATTCTAGCCTTTTTCTAGACTACAACGTCCTGAGACTAACATAAAAGCTATATAGAGCTGACGTCACTATTTACATCAACTTCAGTGACTTCGCGTACTTTAGTCTACAAGGGGAACTTCATCATGTGTCTCATGATCTCAACTTCACGCACTATGGCTTTCTAGAATGGACCGACTTTTTTTTGCTGGTTTGTATATTACACTTTCTTGTGAAGGATATATTCTATATCTAGAATTTTGAAGTTATGATTGGCAAGTTCTATAGCATTTTAGCCAAAATAAGATAATTGTCAAATAATCGAAAATATATCAGTCATATATGTATTCATTAGATTTATTTAACAATTTAAGTCGTTGTTAAAGCAGCAGCGGCCCCAATTATGGAATAAGTGTTGCACCTGAAATAAGAACAACAGAGTAAATATTTAGATATTTTAATTCTATTGACATTTAGAAATTTATCGTTCGGGCTAAAATATATATAGCAGATATTGGATTGATAAAGTTGCTCCCTGATATTTCACACATTTTACATCGTTCACTGTCCTAACACCCTACCATATTTCATGACCATCAGACTAATAGTCACAATTTTACAGCACTTTGAACAACATGATTCAGGTTTGGCCATCATAGCGCTGTAGTCAAACCTGCACAGTTGTCACTGACCCAAATGCATTCATCAGCAGGTATGGCCTGAGTGACACAGATGATCTTACTTTTGAGGTCTGCAGTTGGTCATTCTCATACAGTCTATCTTTGCCGTATCCACATACGTAAGGACATTTTGGACTATGTGTGCAGGTTTGCCGAAAGTGCGATAGTGGCCACGTAGGGCATGTTCTTTTAATTGCTGTAATATTGTGACTATCAATCTGGTGGTCATGAAATATAGTAGGCTGGTAGAAATTGAATGATGTACAACTGTGTAAAATATCAGGGAGTCATTATTTAAAAATGCTTGTGTTTTACTATATTGACTTGAGCCAATGATGGCGGGCCGTAATGGCGGTTCATAATTTTCGTTCAGTTGCAATCAAGTTCTTGCTCTTTCAGCCATGGGCGAAAATGGTGGTAATATCTCAGAACCTCATTTCGACTCTTGGAGGAAGATTTCACTGTGTTGCTCTTTGAAATGAGATTAGGCCTTTTGGTAGTCATATTGAAAATGTAGATTTTTAAATGTATACGTTGGAAGATATTTAGAAAAAGGTTATGCCAAGGAATGTCCTTAGAGGCTTCAAAAATTCCTCAAATTTTTCTTTTGATGATGGTAGTCTGAGATCTACTTTCGCAACACTTGTTTTCAGTAACGGATCCATCCGCGTTTTCTGTGCAACAGTTGAGGAAGTAATCCCCAGTCTCTGGAGGGCATGGATCAAACCAATCTACGCAGAATCCATCATAAGAATCAGCACATACAGACGGAGGAACACTCTCTTGAGGGTGACACCCTTGACCTGAGAAAAATAACATATTTCAAGTACTGTAGTGGGTATTACCTAAGGTAGGGGTCCAAGGCAACAGTTTGCTGTCTCTTGGATGCCATCCTTGTCACAGCAATCTACGAACAGGTCGGAGTATCCATCCGGGCATGGGAGACTGAAGTCCGTACAGATACCATTGTTTTGAACACATTGATGAAATTCGTAATACGTTGTGCCTGCACACTGATTCTGCCCTATAAATGATATGACTTTGCTGATCGATGTATTGACGATATTAAATAAAATTCTGAAAAAGATCAGAAAATGGAAATTCCAGTCATAAATAATGGGAAATATGGACGGTGGAACCTTTCAATTTTCTAGTTTTTTCTCAAATAGAATTTGTCAAAGTAAATGAAAATAGAAAGTCCATCAAAATTCGAATTCGATGTTTCTTACGAATGGACCATATTGAATGATTGAATCTTAGAACTTGAAAATATTTCTTTCTCGATTAGTTTCTCCAGGCCACTCAAAATATCATCAATCGTTGTTGTAAAGTTACGTGATATCGACATCGAATAAAGAACAGAGACTCACCATTTACATAAGCTACAATCAATGTTAGCAAAACACAACAAAGCAGCTTCATCGTGGTGATGTTCTAATCAAAATACAACCTCAAGTTTAGACCAAACCCAGTCGCACTGAAAGCTGTTTGAAAGCTGTGTGAAAGTTACATCTGCGCTTTAGTTGGCAAGTACTTACCGTTATTTTTATGGCCAACTGGTTTAAATATGAATGGTACATGCTTCTTTTCATATTCATATTTAAATGACGGTTACCCTCAACTTCTTGAGATTTCTCTGTTGATCCATCGAGTTAAGGTACAAAGCATGCCTCCCAAGAAAGGTAAGATAATTCTTTTTCCTTCGTTTCAAAAACCGTAGGGTCTTTTGTCGATAAATAAAATCCCAAAATAGTATCTATTTCTCTGTAGGAACCTTAGAGATATGCTTTTTTCAGGAGTGAGTACACGAACTCGACCATTTGATTTCCAGTGGCCCAGACTGCATAGTGCATGAGTTCTTAGCATGGGATTTCATCAAGAGAAAGCTAAGAACAGAGCTCTTATTTCTAATGATATTTGTTTTATTAAAAGATGTCAGTTCTGATCAGAGTTGATGCAATCATATTTTTCTCAAAGATAACTTCATTATGCATCAATCTAAACGGGAGAGCACTGATGGCAGCCACCGAAGATGTTGATATCACAAACGGTCAGTGTAATGATTACTTCCGATTTTCAATGGAAGCCATTGTAATATCTGAACCTACGGAACTACCTTAATATCTTTCAGAGAACCACTTTCTCAGAAGTTAAAAGATTCCCAGACATTATCCTAACCATGTTCATCCTGCTCAAATGAAGTACATATCACTAATCTAGAACATTCATAAACCTAAAGAACTTGCGTAAGTCTTTGGGTTTGGTGTTTGCTGAAGAAAATGGCCATTGTATTGAGGCCATTTTTCGTAAAGAATGTAATCGATGATAACTCAAGTACCAGTGGACGGATTTGGTTCAAATTTTATATACTGATACCCAGGGACATGGGAGCTCTGGTCAAGAAGGATTTTTCAAAATGGCGGCTGAATTTCAAAATAAAGATTAAAATGCCATTCTTCGTAACAGAACATAATCTTTGAAAACTCAAATACTAGTTGATGGATTTGGTTCAAATTTTGTATGCTGATGCCTAGAGAAATAGGAGCTCCACTCAAGAAGACATTTTCAAGATTGCTACCAAATAAAATTATATGCTGATGCCTAAGGACAAAGAAACTCTGCTCAGGAACACATTTCCAAGATGCCACCTGAAATTTCAAAATGGCTGCCATTTTTGTAAAAAAAACATCATCTTTGATTACTCAAATACCAGTTGACGGATTTGGTTTAAATTGTATAAGCTGACATCTAGATACAAGGGAGCTCTTTTCAAGAAAAAAAATAAATTCAAGATGGCCACTAGCTATTTATCAAAACATTTTTTGTTCGGTGGGATTTGCTACTCCGTGGAGTTTTCTAGATTGATATGGAATATAGTGTGAAAAACTAAATTCTTTAATGTAAATGGTCGTAGGTCTCTTTGTGCAGTAAAAGGTACAGTAGTAAAGGGCAATAGCTGCTGAGATTCTACAGTTGTTCATGGATCTACACCAATAAGTATAGATATATCAATATTAATCTTTAAGTGTTACAGTTTAAATGATGATTTTGCTACACACCATGCATCTAGGAGTTCATATGATGTAAGATTTAGATGTAAGTTTGCAAATGATTGTTTAAAAGCTAGCCAATGTACTGCGTAAATTAAAGGTTGTATATAAGGATGAAAGATTACGAGCATAGATTATCACGAATCGTTTAGTGATTTGGCCATCAATATACAATGAAGTACCCCATAGCACATACCCCCCACATCCGCTGTTTGCGTCCATTTACGTTTAAGTTGCCCCCCCCCCCTTAACTATGGCCATCCATCACACTGCAAATGAACTGTAATCTATTCATCTCATTCCCTGTAGTAAGACGAACATGGATCCCCTGTTTCTTTGAAAAGAAGCAAGGGCTTTACTTACCAACTTTGCCTTAACAGAAAGTTAAATTCTTGAGATATACCGCTATCAATATGGCTTTACTAAAGTGTCATTTTCTCAAAAAGTCAATTCCTTTCTTTTGTGCTACATTCCGAAAAACTTTCATTCTATGATTTAAAACGGAACTCGGTTTTCTTTGGAGTACATGAATGTGTAACTTATTCATCAAGCTGAAGTATGACGCTTTTGCGTCGTTGACGGTCTTAAAGATGTGAATCGTGCTAAGGTTTCCCCTTCTGTGAGTATAAGTAAACTTCTTACTAATTTATCATCTTGAAAGAGTAATATATCCTTATTTTTACACATACTTACCTCTTTGTTCGGAGCTCTTGAATGCTGCTTTGAGAATATCAAACATGACGAGAGAAATTATAATTTCTTCATAAGTCATGAATTGCAATATACTATATTATAACAGTGGGATAGCGAGCACCACATAGCTAGATATTTTTTAGAGACGAGTTATCGGCAAGCTCGTTGATATATGTTTATCTAAGGTAGCGAGAAAAGTGACACTGTGAAGATTCGGGAACATTCTTGAATTCGTCAAAACAGAATTGGAACTTTGCGTAAGTATCGCTTTTTCTAGTTCATTTTTGGGGAAAAATTGTAAAATTTTTGAATTTACCAGGGATGATATCAATATCATCTCTGATATCATCCCTCTAAATCCGATATTATCCCTGATATCGTCCCTGTCTCAAATATGTGATTTATCACTTGCTATTATACCTGATATTGCTCTGACCATGGTATAAAACATTGCCCATATTTAGTAAAACTAGTAAGTACAGTTTAAAAGAATGGAGTTGAATAAAAACATTTGGTGTTTAATAAAACTATAATTTATTGTAAGTTTGGCCAATGCAGTTTACACTTGCAACTTGGACAAATATTGTCATTGTATTCTATCAAATATTTCCCGATTTTACACGGGAATTCCTAGGTTGGCTTATAATACCCGTAATTTAGCGAGAATTGCTTTCATTCTGTTTCAGTTAGTTGACCAAAATGTTGAACATCACAACATTATTCATGGTAGCGATTGGTATGAACATAACCGACCATATAAACTTCACAACTGATGTAATGAGTATCAACAACTCCGAGCTTCTCAACGCCAGTACCATCAATCCGACAATTATGGAAATAGCCCTCACTACAAAAGCTGACGATGGCGCTCAAGAACCCAAACATAGAATTCTAGCTAAGGAGGATTACATTGAATACAAGGCAAGTCAGGCTATTTGGAAATACGTATCCCCATTCTTAATATTCGGCGGACTTATTGGAAATACATTATCAATTGTCGTGTTGATGTGTAGTAAGATGCGCTATACGACCTCTTCCTTGTACCTGACTGTTCTGGCAGTCTCAGATATGACAGTCCTTGTGATTGGCCTTGGAAGACACTGGATGCGCTCTGTGGTTGGTAAGGACATTCGCGAAGTTGAAGAATGGCTATGTAAAGCGCATTTGTTTCTTTTATACTCAGCAGTGGACTTTTCCGCATGGATACTCGTGGCTGTTACGGTTGATCGGGTCATCACCGTTTACTTTCCCCTCCAGTCTAAACGCATCAGTACCAGGATTTCCACATGTATTACAATGACCGTCATTGTTGTCATTATTTTCCTTATAAACGGTCATTTCTTATTTACACACGGGACCTACTATTTGTATAGGGGTACGGCCGTGTTTACATACCTTTGCACCTACGTCGACGACAATGATTTCTTTCACAGGATTGTCTGGACATGGCTGGACTTAACAGTGGCCTCCTTGTTACCATTCCTGATGCTGATCATCTGTAATGTCCTCATCATTGTCCAACTGATGCGGTCGAAGAAACGCCGGCAAGAAATGAACGTCAGTTCGTCAAGGACCGACCACACGAGGTCCATGACCATCATGCTTTTGGCCATAAGCTTTATTTTTGTCATCCTTACGAGCCCTATTGTCATCTACGAAGCGGGGTACCAGGATTTCGCAAAGGATAGGTCACCTCTTGGGAGAGCACGAGACGCACTTGTTTGGGCTATTGTTAATATGTTTCTCTACTTGAATCACGCAATCAATTTTTTCATGTATTGCTTGAGTGGTAGTCGATTCCGGGAAGAGATGAGAAGGTTGCTTTGTTGCACGGGTATGCGGAGGCAGACCTCTTACAATGGGGGCTACACAAAAACATCATCTTTGAATTTGAAAGGCTCCATGCAATCTATAGCTACGGTCAGTTCTCACGTCTCCCGTAAAAAACCGACGATAACCACAAAACTCTAACTTTTGGTATTCAGAGCAAATTTAAAGTAACATGAAAATTAGCACATTATATCTGAGCATAGTAGTTTGGTTAAAATATACGCAGATTGGGCGTTACTGTATATCTCAGTTTCCGTGCACTCTGCCCGTGATTGTAGCAGACCAGATACGTATTTGCATTCCTCAGATCAGAATAGATTGAGCTACACTTCATTGCATTATTCAATTCCATGTTGAACATTCAACTCTAGTCTACAACTAAACTATACTCTATTCCTCAGTGTTACGACTGAAATTACAATTACTACGAAATTACAAGCAATATGGCCTTATTCTAGACTACTCTCAACTTCACCTACTATGGCCTTCTTATAGACTACACATTGGCCAACTTCATTGTATGCCTCAACTTCACGTACTATGGCCTCTTTCTAGACTACACATTGGCCAACTTCATTACAATGTTGAACATTCAACTCTAGTCTACAACTAAACTATACTCTATTCCTCAGTGTTACGACTGAAATTACAATTACTACGAAATTACAAGCAATATGGCCTTATTCTAGACTACTCTCAACTTCACCTACTATGGCCTTCTTATAGACTACACATTGGCCAACTTCATTGTATGCCTCAACTTCACGTACTATGGCCTCTTTCTAGACTACACATTGGCCAACTTCATTACCTCAACTTCACGTACTATGGCCTTCTTCTAGACTACACATTGGCCAACTTTATTGTATGCCTCAACTTCACGTACTATGGCCTCTTTCTAGACTACACATTGGCCAACTTCATTGTATGCCTCAACTTCACGTACTATGGCCTCTTTCTAGACTCTACAAATGGGCTGACTTTGGTTTTTACTTATTTGTGTATCTTATCTACTTGTGCATATTTTATTTTATTTTGGAATTCTTGAGTTATGATTGGCAAATTGTATATGAGTGCTGATATGATAGCATCTTAGTCAAATGGTACCATTTAAAATACTGAAGAAATATTTGTCAAATAAACTAAAATATATCAGTCATATATTTATTAGATTTAGTCATTGACAGTTTAAGTCGTTGTCAAAGCAGCGGCCCCAATTATGGAAAAAGGTAGATACCTAAAATAAGAACAACAGTGTAAATATTTTTATGATAATGAAAAGAAATTTAAATTTAATTAATCGATTAATTTAAATACATTTTAATGACATGTAAAAATGTATGGTTCGAACTAGAACCAGGCATTCATTAGATATTGGGCTGATAATCCCTAGTAATGTCAGAGTATTATGATGCTGTTTATGTCTATATTTTGGTGCTTGTTATTACAATCTTATACGCGTTGCCTAATGGAAAAAGAGTTGCTAAATATATGACAGTGAGTGTATGCATTGAAAGTGGAGGAAATCGGAAAAAAATCAGAAATTTCAACTCCGCTATTGATGTTGAAATAGTAAGTTCAAGCAAATGGCGTTAGTCTTATTGAAAATGTTGATTTTTTAAAATATTTGTATATAGTATTTTATATGTAAACATATTAATACTAAAATGTATTCTCCGATATAAATGAGGCAATAAATACATGTATACAATACAATACTAGGTACAGTATGTTGGAGGATATTTAGAAAAAGGTCATGCGAAGGAATGCCCTCACAGGCACCAAATATTGCTCAAACTTTTCCTTTGATGATTTTTATCTATGACCTACTTTCGCAACACTTGTTTTCAGTAACGGATCCATCCAAGTTATCTTCGCAACAGTTGAGGAAGTAATCTGCAGTGTCAGGTGGGCACGGATCAGTAAAAGCTACACACGTTCCATTGTACAAATCAGCACATCCAGACGGGCGAACAGTATCTAGAGGGTGACACCCTTGACCTGAGAAAAATAACATATTTCAAGTACTGTAGTGGGTATTACCTAAGGTAGGGGTCCAAGGCAACAGTTTGCTGTCTCTTGGATGCCATCCTTGTCACAGCAATCTACGAACAGGTCGGAGTATCCATCCGGGCATGGGAGACTGAAGTCCGTACAGATACCATTGTTTTGAACACATTGATGAAATTCGTAATACGTTGTGCCTGCACACTGATTCTGCCCTGTAAATGACATGACTTTCCTGATGCATTGACTACAAAGTGAAACCTGCTTTTCAACTCCATCCGCGTGTGGATATTTTTGAATTGATATCATAGAATATATCCTGTATGTTCTAAAGACATTTCAGCAGTTATTTCAAAACTAAACCTCGAATGATTTACTTTTCCTTCTTTTTAACAGCATATATTTTTTTAATAATTTTCAATTCAGGTTAAACTCCATTAAGATGTCCATGATACAATAACAACTTACAATATTACAAGGTTGTTGATCATGAAACTCTTAATATGACAACTCATTGCAGGTCATGTGCCAGGTGTACCTACAAATTATGTATACAGTATACCCCAAAAAGTTTTGGAGTATTTTAAAAAAACTTTACGTGTATATCACATCACTCAAAATAAATGTTGGATTTCTTTTCACTTTTCCACTTTCCCTAATTTTACACCAAGATAATAATATTCTTGCACATTTCTTCTGAACCCCCCCCCCCCAAAAGAAAAGGCTGTATTTACAGAGGAAAATATATCTCTTATAAATGCGTAAAATTGTATTTAATAAGATTGATTTTCCGTTTGAAAGGAGTGGACCCAATGTAACTGTTCTCTTGTCACATAAAATAGAAAGCTCCTCTGGCAGTCATTCCTTAATATAGTTTAGTAATTTCTTTGTTAATTCACAGTTAAGAATTAGGTGCCCGAGAGATTCAATATGATTTCCACAGAAAGTGCAAAGTGCAGATTCTTGTAGGCCACGCAAAAAGGATTAACAATTTTCGCTTCAACCCTCTGAAGGATTTTGGAGTCATAGCATATTTGAATTTGGTGAAATGTTGTCTATCATAATAATTTCGATTATGTTCTTTAAATCTTTTTCCATGACTTTTACAACTTTTCTTAAAAAAACTTTGGTAATGCTTAATTTCTTTAAAACCGTGGATTTTTCGTTCGACAACCAACATTTTCATGGCTAATCACAATATGTACATTATAAGAGGGTCATCCCATAGCATGGCATTCGCATTTTAGCTAAACCATGATTTTGAGAAAGTCTATGGCAGTCTGGCCAAAGTAAACTAAAGAACACAAGAGTAACATCTATCATATCAGCTTTATTGAGCTATGGAACTCCCTTATCGAAGGTTCATCGTTCATCGATGGTAGAAAAGAAAAGGGGTCACAATCACAACCCTACACAATCACAACAAGTCAGCTTATCAAATGCCGTAAATTAAGAACAATCTTGGTGGGTGTGACGACGATTTTCTTATCAAGCATCCTAAATTAAGAACGTGTCGCTTTTAAAGCAAACCTGTTCGCGAAGCGAGCAAATTGAGGCGTTACGTCAACTAGCGGATCTAGATGGGTCGCGGGCCCACGCCCCCCCCCCCCCCCCTCTGAAGAATCAGCATTTTAACTGGAAATCAAAAGAGATTAATTGTCAATAGAGAGCTTTCGATATGAGTTTTCAGCCAAACTTACACTGCAACTTTAACTTTTTTACGTAAACACCACTGGGGAGGAAGGTTTCTCAAAGGAAACCAGGAAAGTACATTTCATTAGAAATATTTTCCTCGTTTCCTAATCGAGAGAATTGATTTATGAATATCCGATTAATGAAAGAATTTATTTCTAAGTTGAAATCTTATTTTGAAACCAGAATTCACGAACTACACATTTGTCAATTATTATGTGGTGATTTGAAGGATGAAAGCACCCTATCTTCGTTTCCAGAGTCCCCCCCCCCAGTGCTATACCCGACTTGTACAAGAACAAGTTTGCGTATACCTATTCCAAATAACTGTTCGAAAGCTCTCTAGTAACGCAAATTGTATACGCTAAAATCCGGCTCGGGAATTTGACATACGCTCTGAAATTGGTCAGAATGCACCAAATGATGTTCAATTTTCGGAATTTTCTGGAGGAGACCCCCCCTCCAACTTACGATTACTTTTAAAATGAAAGTATACTTAATATATGACCCCCCCCCCCCCCCGATAAAACAAATAGAAACATTTCATTCACGTTACCTCAAAATCGGCTAGGTGCCCCCTTAATGCAGAAAATGTGTTTCCTGGAATAACCTTCATTTTTACATAGTACTTACATGTACTGTAATTACAACTTTTGTAATTGTTATAGTTGAAATGTGTGATTTTGGGAATGCCTAATATTCCAGATAGTAACGATGTATTGCCAGTCAAATGCGATGTTAGTAGCTATAGTCACGAATGGACCATATTGAATAATTGGAACCTAGAACTTGAAAATATTTCTTTCTCGATGAGTTTCTTCAGGCCACTCAAGATATCATCAATCATTGTTGTAAAGTTACGTGATATCATCATCGAATAAAGAACAAAGAGACTCACCATTTACATAAGCTACAAACAATGTTAGCAAAACACAACAAAGCAGCTTCATCGTGGTGATGTTCTAATCAAAGTACAACCTCAAGTTTAGACCAAACCCAGGCACACTCACTGAAGGCTGTTTGAAGGACGTGTGAAAACTACATCTGCGCTTTGGTTGGTAAGTATTTTTAGCACGAAGCACCCGTGGGTCAGTGACTCGACTGTATAAGAGAGAACCCTGCTTAAACAACATTACACGAATCCTTTCCTAGTTGAAGAGCTCTTGTTGAGCTAATATGTGCAAATCTTTATCTCCACAAAACAAGGTAGCATTCGCGAATTCAACTGCCGATTATCGGCTGACGGACTACCGCTATTTCTACGGCCAATTCATTTATATATGAATAGTACCTGCTACTTTTTAACATAGTAGACCCCGTGTTAAGTTTGAAAATATGTTTTTATCATTCATTTACTATTTTTCATGACTTAAAGTTATTTTACAGATTTTTGAAATTTTTTATTTGGAAGAAAAAGTTGTCAGATTTTTATTTTAAATTTC